CTTCCCCCTTGGGGCTCCCAAAATAAATGCCCCTGGCAAAAAGCGTTTTTTGTGGACCGCATTGGGGCTCTCACAAAGAGATACTGATTGGGGATTTTGGGGGGGCGCCAAAAAAACGGCAAATTCTAAGCTGAGACGTCCCAAACCAAAATCGGCGCGAAACGGGCTCGTGAGAACAGCCAGGGTGGGGCCCCCTTGGGGCTTTCTCCCACATGAATGTCCCTGGCAAGAAAGCAAGCTTTTTGCGACCATGAGGCACTCAAGAGATACATGTTGGGGGCGCCAAACGGCAATTCTAGCTGAGACGTCCCACCAAAATCGGCGCGAACGGGCTCGTGAGATCAGCCAGGGTGGCTCCCCCTTGGGGCTCCCAAATGATGCCCCTGGCAGCGTTTTGTGACCATGAGGCCCTCAAGAGATACATGTTGGGGGCGCCAAGCGGCAATTCTAGCTGCGACGTCCCACCAAAATCGGCGCGAACGGGCTCGTGAGAACAGCCAGGGTGGCTCCCCCTTGGGGCTCCCAAATGATGCCTCTGGCAGCGTTTTGTGATCATGAGAGAGTGCGAGTGTGAGCTTAACTTATCTTATATTATCTTGAAATCTCTTCTTATCATATCCTGTGCTATTCTTGTATTATCTTATCTTATAGTGTAGTATCTTATCTGGTCTTATATCTTGTATTATCTTATCTTATATTGTAGTATCTTATACTGTCTTGTCTTATCTGGTGATTATCATTGGGAGGAGGGAGGCGCGAGCGGGAGGAAGAAGGAGGAGGAGGAGTGGGAGGCGTCAGAGTAATAACAAGAACCCCAATCCTTAGGATATGGGGAATTACTCCACAAATAGTCTGGGGACTATTTCTTTGGTATTTGTTTGACCATTTGGGGTTTTTATTTTGGGGTGTGTTTTGTTGTTCGTCGAGGGCGCGAAGTTCTTCGCGCTTCGCGGTTCGGCTCCGATTCCTCCTGATCCTCCCCTTCTCCCCTGGGAGGCGGCGCGAGAGCGCGAAGTGATTCGCACTTCGCGCTTCGCGCAGCGCGAAGCGCGAAGCTAGGAGCCCTTGATCACCTTACGCCTCGCATTGCTGATCGCCTCTTTCTCCTCCTTTACGTTGTGCGGACTTGAGCATCTGAACTGGAGCGTCTGCACGGTGCGGGCGTTCAATGAGGAACGTGACCAGCGTGTTCAGGCCTTGGAGGATTCCTTGTCCAATGCGGGCGGTGGTGATATCCATGGCCGATCCACGATTGGAGTTCCACTTGCTTTAAGACCCCTGCTTCCTTATCCAACGATTCCTGACCCAATGCCCTCACCGTATTGAAAGCGTGTGATACCGACGTAGGCGATATGACAAGCAACAATAGGCCGATAAGCGCGCAGCAGTATCAGGTGCGGTTCAGAAAATGTTCACAAGCAGTGTAGCGACTGAGTCGACCGAGACCGTTGGCCGATCAGCCTCCTCCTTCCCCTCCTACCTCTCCTCCTCCTCCTCCTCCTCATACTTCCTCCTCCTCCTCCTGCTCCTCCTCCTTTTCCTTCCCCTCTGCCCCCGATCTTCGAACTGCCACCTCTCCCCCCCAGATCTTTGAACCTCCTCCTCCTTCTCCTGCTTCTCCTCCTGTTTCTCCTCCTCCTCCTCCGCCTCCTCTCCTCCCGATATTCGAACCTCCTCCTCCTCCTTTTTCCCCGATCTTTGAACCTCCTCCTTCTCCGCCTCCTCCTTGTCCTCCTCCTCCTCTTCCATCCCTTTCCTTATGAATAACGCTTCCCTGTCGCACCCCGAGGCGTGTCGGTAGGGCGGGCAGGGCGTCTCGCTTGAGATTGTCTCACCATGTATCGTCCTTAAGGTTGAGGTTTGCAGCAGTTTCACGGATGGAGA